CCCCCCCACCCCGTTACAGAGCGGCCGCTGTAACCTTTTTCATCGACTCGCCGAGATTTGATCTGATCGGATGCATCCGCTTCCATCGCCGCTGGGATCTGCCCGCTCTCCGGGATCACTCTGTTAGACACAAACGCCCGAGAGGAGGGACTCCACTTGCTTTGCTTCTCCGCCAGAAACATTTACACTCCAGCCCCACGTCACCGCTTGTCCCTCCCTCTGGGCTGGACTTAAAACCTCCATCTCCTTCCCCCTCCTTCTGCCTCTTCTTTATCCTTATTCTTCTCCCTCAACCTTAAGTCCTTTCCCTTCATCCTCACTCCATCCGAATCTTTTCTCAATTTCCTTTCCTCTCATCCTCAAACTCCCAACCTCTCATCCTCACTCTCTCCCTCATTCTCATTCTCACCCTCTCTCATACACCCACCCTCCCCCCCCCCCCCGCCCCCCCCTTCCCCCCCCTCACTGACACCCTGTGCCTCTCCAACACTCTCTCCCTCTCACTGACACCCTGTCCCTCTCTGACACTCTCTCTCTCTCTGACCCTCTCTGACACCCTGTCCGTCTCCATCTCCCTCTCTCTGACCCTCTCTGACACCGTCTCCCTCTCCAAAACCCTCTCCCTGACCCTCTCTGACACTCTGTCCCTCTCCCTGACACCCTGTCCCTCTCTGACACTCTCTGTCTCTGACACCTTGTCCGTCTCCATCTCCCTCTCTCTGACACCCTCTCCCTCTCCAACACCCTCTCCCTAACCCTCTCTGACACTCTGTCCCTCTCCCTGACCCTCTCTGACACTCCCTCCGTTTCCGACACTGTCTCCCTCTCCAACAGCCTCTCCCTGTCCTTTGGGTCACAGGCCCTTAAACATTGGAAAAAAGGAAAGGAAAACGAAGGTGACCCAACACTGACTGTGTGTGGGAGAGAGAGAGAGAGGGCAATTGTGGTTTAAGGGCTTGTCATTGCTGGATCACCTCTATTTTCCTTTTTTCCATTGTGATCCTTATGGTGTCAACTGATATTTTAAGTCACATCCTAATTGTTCTTAAAATACGCATTCAATAACATTTAACTGTTCTCCTCACCACACACCACTGACACCCGCACCCAAAAAGGTTCAAAGTCTGTTTTTGCTTCCCTCCAATTCACAAAAAATAAAGACTTGCATTTATATAGCACCTCATCAAACATTGCATAGCCACTTGCATATTTCTGGAAGTTTGGTGATCATGTAGGTTGTAACAGCAGTTAAAATGCATTCAGTAAACTTACTCAAACAGCAATGTGATTACACGCTGGGTAATCTGTGTGATGTTGACTGAAGGATAAATATTGGTCAGGGCACTGGGGATAATTCCCCTACTCTTTTTCTGTTTAATATCTCAATCCAAACCTCCAACAGTGCAGCACTCCCTTAGGAAGCAAGGACACTTGGGTTTTCTTTGTGCCAAGGGGAATGCAAACCTTGTGACCCAAGAAGTAATTGTGGCACCGACTAAACCATGGCGGATGATAAGATGGGATTGCACTGAAGCCAATTAAGGCATAGTGGACAAACCCATCAGTATTTTCTTACTGATTAATAACAGCCTCAGTGTTTGCTAACAGAAAATGTTAGACATTACACAGCAGACCAAAGAGAAAGTTACGTTAATATTTCAGATTAAGAGGTACCATGCCAAATCAACACCTTTCTTTCTGATTGATATTGCCCCTGGTGGAGGTCTTGTTGTCAAGTTAGTGTCACTATCTCTAGGCCAAGAAGTTCTGGGTTCAAGTCTCACACCAGGACTTGTTGGTCATGAAAGATACTTTTATAGCGTGGCTAAGCAGGTTGACTGTCACCCTGTAAATCTTTCCAACGAAAACACCAGATGTGGAAGGGAATGCCAAACCACTACAGCCATATCAGATTCAAAATATTAACTTTATTCTCTCTCCACAGATGCTGCCAGACCTGCTGAGTTTCTCCAGCATTCTCTATTTCAAGTTTCCGGCATCTGCATTATTTTGCATTTATTCAAGCACTGTCCAACAGAATTTCCATTTAATCTTTCGGTTTGTTCACCTTCATTGCTTTCTATTTCCCTCCTGGTGTTTGATAAAAGTGTTTGCTAAAACTTGCTTTCACAGCCTCATCTCCTTTGTCAATGATTTACCCCACCAAGAAAACAGAAGACAGGTTGATGGCTTAGGTGTGTAACCTGCTGAACAAGGGACTGTACCTGAACTATTTCCGCAATCTTTGGGTTCCATCGGTGCTCATAAAACAGAACTTCATTAATCAATGCTTCAATGAATTAAAATATCATAAGATCTCAAGATTTAAACACTGATTGTGATTTATTGCTCCCAATATTATATAAATCACATTAAACTTTGTGTATGATATCTCTGTTAACTCTTAAAATAAACCAACCTATTAACGTGACAAATTCTTCCACTTATTCCCATATCCCATAAAGGTTGGTATTCAAATATCAGCAATATTATTTCATCATATTTGCACCACTAATTTTTAGATATTGCAGAGTATCTGGATAACAGATACTCCAAAAATGAAAAATATCATTAAAAAAAATGTACAATCTAATAGTGTTTCTAAAACTGGCTTTAATCTCACCTCTCGCCTGAGGCATGGTGACCTTCATATTAAACTCACCACCAGTCGTCTCTGTCTCTCATGAGAAAACAGCCTACTGTCTTCTGGGACTATAATGACTCTACGTTTATACAAATGATGTTAATCTGACCTTCAATTTTAATAATTAGTTCATCAAAGGGGCAGATAGTACTGTGTTTCTAGCACTTTATTGTGCTGTGACCTTCCAATTATGGAGCCAGATTACTACAGCCTGAAAAAACGATTGGCAGTATTAGTAGGTATCATCCACTGTTTTAAGGGAAGTGTGGTGATTGTAACAAGGCCAACCAGGTGGACCTCATAGAATATGAGTTCCTTGATTGGGACTGTTAATACAGTCCAAACAGGGATCCCTGGTTGATAGATAAGAACAGGAGTGTCAGAGGTTCTGTTCACTCTGAGAGCAGGCTCTGAGGGAGCTAGATCACTGTTAAGGACTCTCCACGTGTAAATAATGGGTAACTTGGTGATGGGATATTGGTCTCTGTGGAGTTATTTCAGTGGCGATGAGAGAAAAGCACACTCCTGAAGAAACTGGCTCGCAACAGTCATCTGTGACTTGGGGGTAAGCATTTCTGACATCATGCCATTATTTGGGAATCTTGACTCATTCGATCCTGCTATCGAAGACTGGGCCCAGTATGTGGAAAGAATGTGTTACTTTTTTCTGGTCAAATGACATTGGAGCAGATGAAAAGAAACGAGTAATTCTCCTGACAGCTTGTGGACCCATAGCTTTTTCAGTTATTAGGACCCTAACATTCCCTGAGGCACCACATATTAAAACCATTCAAGAGTTGACTGATTTAGTTAAGGAATATTACGACCCCAAACCTCCTCTAATTCTGAGAAGCGATCAGTTTTACTCAGCAATTCAAGAACCAGGGATTTTTGACGAGGTTAAGACAACTGGCAGAGGCATGTGACGTTGGTTTAACCCTGAATGAGATGCTGAGAGACAGTTTGGTATGTGGGATTAATGATATAACCATGCAAAAGCACCTACTAGCTGAAGCCAAACTGGAATTCAAACAGGCACTACAACTGGCTTTGTGACTGGAAAATGTGGCAAGTGGAGCATATGAGTTGCAGGGTATTCCGATGGAAGTGGATGCCCTCGCCAGTCTGACTGAGCTTGGGGAACATCACTTGAGTGAAGGCAATTACGTAGCCTGATTCAGGACATATCCTGAACGCGGGGAATACCATGAGGAAATCTCTCCAAGTGTGAGGCCATGGGCTGCTGAACAAGGTCTTTGGTGGGGTGGAATGTATAGGTTGCTTCAGAAAGGGAAATAGAAGATAGATCTGAGAACAGACAGTAGTAATGGGAAGCTGACAGCAAGGGGAAAATTGGCCAATTTAAGGAACTGCTGCGCTGGAAGGTGAGGATTGAAGAAACAATGTTGGTTTTCCAACCAAGTTCCAGGATGATCGTCTTCTTTCTATACTTCCATTCAACAATGGGGCATTGGCCTGTAGAGAATAGAAATTTAGGGAATGCTACAATTTTAAGCTTCACTGCAAACTAATTTCTGCTTCAGAGCAGCACTGAGATTGTGTTGCAAAATCAGGGCGATGTGCCCAATGTGACTCAGGAGAGACATACCATGACACATTGCAAAAGAGATAGAATTCCACCTGTTTTGTATTTAATGCTGCAGGGTATACATTCCTGTTCTACTCTGGAAAGCCAGTAGGAGGCTTATGTTTATTTTCTAAGTGAACAATTACAAACATATCTCACCAAACTCAACCACACTACAGTGTCTCTTTGGAAAAAAATGTATTTTTAAATCAGCCAGTTATGACACACCAGGAGAGTGTGGGACTTATTTTTCATGGGATGTGGTTGTCATTGGGTAGAAGCACATTCATTGCCCATAATCAGATCAGCAGATTTCCTTCCCTAAATGACATTAGAGAACCAGTTAGGATTTACAACAATTGACATTGGTTACATGGCCACCATTAAGTCAGCTCTCTATTGACATAAAATTTCATCATCCGCCATGGTGAGACTTGAACCCATTTCCCCCAGGACATTAGCCTGGAGCTTTAGATTACTAGTCTAGAGATATTACCACTACACCATCACCTTCCACTTGACTCCAGGCTTTCTGCCTCAGAGGTAGAGACACTACCACCGCACCACAAAATCCTCCTTTTTAAAGATTGTTGCTTTCATGTTTTTGTGTGGTTGTATTATGATGCTTTTCCTGGGACCATCAATTAATGCCCCAACTTAATGTAATTAAACATAATTGATATACAATTCATAACTGACACTATAACAAATACAGTGTCTACCGGGTTTAAAAACCTATTTGGAGTTGGTCTAAACATGTAGACAGTGAGAAACCTCTAAACAAGAGCTGTCCTCTTTCAGCTGGATTCCCAGTCGAGCATTACAATATTGTATGGTTGTAGGCCATACTGTATATACTAGTGTGAGAGTGCTGGCTGCAGTATAATTGAACTAATACAAGCTTATCAAGTATTTGAGAGTTCCTCCAAATCTGCCATTTGAGTCTAACTAAATGATAACAGTAGGACTGAATGAGCTG